GCCAAATATATTACAAGAAGATGAGTAACTGCTTAAGAATCTAGCATGCTCATTTGCCAATATTTAAGATGTTACATAGGGACTGGAGAGATGGCTCAGTGGTTAAGAGCACTGGCTGTTCTTCCAGAGGATTGGGTTCAATTCCCAGCACCCACAAGGTGGTTAACAATCATCCATAACTCCAGTTCCATGGGAATTTGACGCCTTCTTCTGACCTCTGTGGGCATTGCACGGCACAGAAGCAGTAACATACATCTGGGCAATACACTCATACACATAAAATAAAAAATAAAATAAAGATGCTGCACAGATAAGGAATAAGAAGACCACTTTGCTCAAAGACATGACTTCAGAGACAAGAGTGTCAGTACACATGAACTAAAAAGACAGAAATACTGCAGAGAAGGCTCAGCAGTTAAGAGCACTGGCTGCTCTTGCAGAAGACCTGGGTTCGAGTCCCAGCCCCCAAATGGTGACTAACAGCTGTCCATAAATCCTGTTCCAAGGGAATCAACACCCTCTTCAGTCCTCCGAGGGCAGTGCACGACACAGGTGCACTTACATACATGTAGGCAATACACTCATGTCATGCACATAAAATAAAAATAAATAAATACAAAAAAATACAGAAATACACAAAAATGTTAGTTTTCCATCCTTTCAGCCGAAGTATGCCAAAGACTGTGACAAAAGCTCTGGCTTGCCTTCTCTCATTAATTGCTGAAGGAGTGGCTGCCCCTCTGGTTGATGCTAGCAAACTACTGCACTGCAAGCTCTGGGGGATAGAACCATGAACTCTGTTCACCAACGGGAAGCAACACCTTGTTCACAAAGTACCTGCTCCATGACAGCCTCATTTAAGGGTCCTAAGCAAGTAACATCAACTACAAGTAAAAAGAGCTGCAAATAAGGCAATAAAATATTAACAAGAACAGGGACAGTAATAATGAGACATAGCACAAGCAATCAAGATACAGGGAACTTTGTTCAATTTGGGGGAGAGGTCATAAAAATAAATATATATTGGGCTTATTTTTAAGATGATTTGAGATGATGTATGCTAAATGATTTGAAAACGCCAGTAGCTGAGATGTGGGGAAAATGATAGGTGACACTAAAATCTGTGTCTATTTTTATTTGTTGTCACTTCCTGGGAACTAGAGAGTCTTTGGGGGGAGGGTGAAAGGAATTAACAAGGACATAACTTAATCCTCTTGCTCTTGGCATCTGCGAATGAAGATGGTGTTTGCTGAATTATAACAAAAGGCACAAATTCAGAAGGTCAGAGGAAGGAAAAGCAGAGGGAGAACAAGGCGAGGGCTAATATTCTTTTTCACCCCTATCCTGGCAAATAGCTGAGGTATCTGTGCATGAGGGAAGAAACAGGATTTAATTAGCAATTAACTATTTGCCCTGCTGTATTATTATGACATCATAAGAAATACATATTTGGTTTCTGGCACAGAGCTGATATTTTGTAATTTCCTGAGCCACAGGGGCGCTAGGTTCATCTCTTACTCCAACATTTGATCTTTGACTTCCAATCCTGACTTTTGTTCTAATAAGAATCACAATCCCAATTCTAGTGTTGGGGGTAGAATCAAGGGCCTAGGGCATGCTCACGAATGCTCTACACTGAGCTGCTCTAACGAGGTGACTCTTAATGGACTCCTGGATGGAGCTGGTCACCAGAAAAATTAAGCCACAATTAAAAGCTTCAAACCTTTGCCCTATCCCCCATGATCTGGGGAGAGCAGAAGCCTAGAGATGGAGTTATTGGTCATCATATACATGTGGCAGGGCCACAGTAAAAGCCCCTGATAAGCTGGTGAGCTCATGCATGCCTGTAGTCCCAGCACTTGTGAGGCTGGAATGAGAGGACTGCTTGTGCCTTGGGAGTCTGAGACTAGCCTGGGTAAGACATTAGGCTCCATCTCCAAAACACACACAAACCATCTACAGGACTGTTTTTGAACTACAGAACTAGGAGCTTCTTATTTGGACATGAGGAAGAACCCAGAGGGTGGCATGGCTGGAGAAGGCCTGGAAGCTCTCCTGTATGTCCTATGGATCTTTTCCATTGGGTTGTTCATGTATATCTTCTGTAGTCCTCTCTATAATGCATAAGTAAATACTCAATGAAGAGTTTTCCTTAATTCTATTAGTTGCTATAATCAGTTAATCAAACCCCAAACTGGCAGTTTTAGGAACCTAAATTTATAGCTCGCTAGTTAGAGGTATAGGTTACAACCTGGGATTTGCAAGCAGTATCTCAAGTTGCAGGGTCAGTGTTGTGTGAATCAGACCTGTGGGTGGGGCTGCATGCTATCTGCAGATAAACAGTACCAGAATGGAAATGAATTTAGGATTGTGATCCATTCAAGAACTTCAGTTGTTTTGGGAAAACGTCTCATATCTCTGGAGTCAATTGGCGTTGCATTGACTATATGAGAGATGCAAAACTATCTCTTACACATGCTCTGTGCTAAATAACCTTTGAAATTTAACTAATACTCCAAAGGGTAGGAGCAATAAGCTAGGTCTTCCAAGGCCACTGCCAGAAAGCACCAGTATTCCTTTTAGTCTGCATCCTATAGGATATTCTATCTTGAGTCTTAATAAGGCAAAAAGAATAGAACTCAAATCATCATGTTCCAAATTATTGGAGTGTTTCTATCTGCCATTCAGGATGGGAAATCTATGTCTAGGTACACTTGACATATAGAGAGTGATGACACCCATGAGTCCCTATAGACTAGAGCATCATAAATCAGGAATCTTGTGGATCTAACAAATGAGGTATAATGGTTTGAGTATGGTTTGTTCCCTTTAAAATTCATGTTACGGGGCTGGAGAGATGGCTCAGCGGGTAAGAACACTGGTTGTTCTTGCAGAAGACCTGGGTTCAAATCCCAGCACCCACATGGCAGCTAACAACTGTCTATAACTCCAGTCCCAGGGGATCTGACAGCCTCTTTTGACCTCCATGGGCACTGTACGACACGGGTGCACTTACCTACATGCAGGCAATACAAGCATACGCATAAAATAAAAATTAAAAAAATTAACTAAAATTCATGTTATATTTAATTAACATTATGAAATAAGATGCAGGCATATATAAGACTTTCAACAGGGGATAAGGGTTCTGCCCCCACGAATAAATTAGTACACCCATGGGACTGAGAGATGAATGGGCTATCTCAAGGATAGGTCTGTTATAAAATCCAGGTTGACTAGGTCTCTCAAGTACTCCCTGTTTTTCATCATTTGAGGCCCTGAGCCACCTTAGGACACTGCCAGTAAGGTCATCAATTGATATGGCTATTGACCAGTACCATGGGTCTGGTACCACCTCTGGCTGGGAGGTGGTAGTGGTGAAAAATAAAATTCTCTTTTCTTTGTAACTCAGCTTGTGGTATTATACTCATAGCAACAGCAAACAGATTAAGACATGGGGCCTGGGGAATAGTATGTAAGTGCAGTGGTAGAACACTTGCTTAGCATGTACAAGGTCCTGGGTTTGATACTCAGCATACATACACATATATACAGAAAGGACAAGACATGGGGTTTATTAAAAGATCACAGGAAACAAACTAGACATCAATGTTCAGAGCGTGAGTTTTGAAGTCTGCCAAGCCTGAGTTCTTAATCAAGCTTAGACAATTAGTTCTATAATATTAAGCATTTTATAATTTTATAATCTGATTTTCTTAACTATAAAGTAAGAATAATAGTACTTACCACAGAAAGTTCTTTTTTTTTTTTTTTTTTTTTTTTTTTAAGATAGGGTCTCTGGTAGCCCCAGCTGGCCTGGAAATCCCTATGTAGACCAGGCTGGACTTGATTTCACAGAGACCCACCTGCCTCTGCCTCCCTGAGTACTGGTATTAAAGGTGTGCTCCTAAGAATACCAATACAGGCCATGCCTTTAAACCTGGCAGATACAGGTAGATCTCTATGAGTTTGAGGCCAGTCTGGTTTACCCAGGGAGTTCCAGGCCAGCTAATGCAGCAATAGTGAGAGTCTGTCTCAAAAAACAAAAACAAACAACCTCCCCTACAAAAACAAAACAACCCCAGTCCTCAAGAATACTGAACATAAATGTGTGTAGCACACAGATGTGGTTCTAACAACGATGCACTAAATTAGCTCTTATTTTCATCATGATCACCACTTCCTCCATTACTTCACTCTCATCCTCAGGAGTCCACAGACTCTGTGTGTCATTTTGTTTTGTTTTGAGATGGGGTCTCATTACCACAATATGGGCTTAAGGCACCTATGTAGTAAAGGCTGGTCTTGACCTCCTGATCCTCCTGCCTCTACCACTCAAATATTGGGATTACAGGCATGCAATACCATGCCCAGCTGTTCACAGACTTTTGTTGGCTCTAACACATTCATAAAAAAATCCAAATGATAGTCATGGTTAATTCCAACTCCAAAGAGAATTTTTAATAAATATTAAAAATATTAGAATAACAATGATTAACTTGGAAACTTTCTGAATTGATAAAAGCAAGCCCTTTGCTTTTGTTTTCATGAAATTTTTACTTAAGGGCTCTTAAAACGTCTTTTGAGATTAATCTTTATTCAAGCAGCAAATAACATTTGCAAGAAACAATCTGATTTCTTTTTCTGATTAGATTACATTTTGCACATTTGTGTGTGTGTTCACATGTATACACCCATGCACACACTATGGTACACATGTGGCAGTCAGAGAACAACTTGCAGAAGTCATTTCTCTCTTTCTACCTTGTGGGTCCCAGGGATCCAACTCAGTTGTCAGGCTTTGGCAAGAGGTGCTTTAAGCCACTGGGACATCTCAATGGCTCCAACAATCTGATTTTTATTCTAGCTTTGGAAAATGATTTAAAACAGTTGAAGAAAATATAATTAATCAAAACTTATCTTCACCTCGTTTTCCTGTACATGACCCCCTGTACTCAGCTGCTGCCCCAAAGGACAAGTTGAAAACATTTGCCTCTCACCTCTAACAGTTCATCTCCAATACGCATCCGTCCATCTGTGGCTGCAGGTCCTTCTGGGTTAATTCCCACCACAAATATGCTCATCCGTGACCTGTCTTTATTGCCAGCAAGACTGAGCCCCAGTCCATTCTTATCCTTTTCCAGTTCGATAATGTGCAATTCTCCGGGCAGGTCTGCATATCTTTGCCTGATTTTCTCTATATTAAAAGTAAAATAGAGCAGTTGAATGACTGTTACAGCATTTCCCCCATACTTACTCTAGTTCCTCCACAAATGGTTTCTCTTTTAGAATGAAGCACTTAAGGTTTTCATAGCCTGATGTATAAGCTACAGTTAGCAGTTACTTTTATCCTCACCTAATTAGTTTAGGTGACCCATAAAACTTCTCATCCTTCTGGTTCCTGTTGGCCTAGACTTTTATAGATTGTTTTTCCTTTAGTTTAGTTTTAGTTACCAAAATAAGGGGAAAACATAGCCCCTGTCTCTACCTTCTTGCTAAAAAGATTTAGAATGTTTACTGAGTAATAGTTATATACCAAGCATAGTATTTGGTTTTAGAGATAAAATGTTGAGCCAAATTATCATTGTTTCTACTCTTATAGATTTAAGGTTCAGCATGAAAGAAAAATCAACAATTTATTCTGAAACAGAATTATACTTAAATGTGTTTAATTAAAAGTTTATTTAAATAATTATGTCATGGTAAAATTATTAGGGATGGACTCCCAGGTTGTGTGTTCATGTAAGAGCTTTACCAATGGTCCCTACCAATGCAGGCCCTAAAATATAGTCTTTAAAATATATAACAGTATAAAGTAACACTGGGTTATATGAGCAAAAGGAAGGGGAATTAAAGATGCTGGTTTAGCTGTTAGATGTAAACAATCCACAGATGTCCAAATGCCCATAAATCAATAGTGTTTTATCTCTATGGGGTTCTGTTTCTCCCACAATAAAGTATATATTAAACTCTTAACATACCCTGGTTTATAAGTGTTCTATAACTACATTTTTCCATCTTCTGTCTCATTTTGCTACCTCTATATTATGGTTTAAATTATTCATTGAGGTCCTGGTTGGCTACTTTTCATTTGTGCTGGTTCCATACAACAAAACCACACTAGATTGATATGGGCCAGCACTGCTGGAAAGCAGGTCTTGCCACTATACAACCCTGACTCAGGCTGGTGTGTGGCCAGGGCATAAGCTTCATGCAAGGTCTCAACAATTATTTCATCAGCTGAATAAGAAGTTAATAGTTTCTGACCATCCTTAATGCTTAGTGCTCAGTCTAAAGCATTTTATATACTTTGGCTGTTCTTAGGAAGGAACCTTGCAAATGAAAAGCTTAACTCAAACTGCCTTAAGAGGAAATAAATAAATTTAAACTAAAAAGATTCTATGCATAAATTTCTTTAAGAACCAAACATAAGTAGCTGCTTATTTTTGAGAGAATAAATCTGTTATACAGGGATTTTGAAAAGAATCTTTAAGGACTTATAAGAACAAAGCTTGTATATAATAAAGAAGATATTTGACAAAGGTGAGGGACTTGCAACATAACAAAATTGTCCTCTACACAGAAAAAAACATAAGTCATATTCACAGTGAAGTAAAAAAAACCAAGATATTTTTGTCAGTCAACTCCCAAGAACAAGACACTGCATGAGAATTTCATGGAACAGAGACAGGCAAGATCTTCAAAATGCTTACACACCACCATTAATGTGACAAATATTAAACAAACCCTGGCAAAGTCCTAACCACCACAATTTCTGGGCAATGAAAAAAATGCCACTTAGTAAATTAAGTCAGTGAATAACACTGCATGGATTATGCTATCAAGAGTTGCCTTTAGAATCTGAAGAACTGATATGGCCAGAAAATATTTCTTAGAAGCAGCAGAATTTGAGCAGCATCTTTAACAAGGTACAAATCTGATCATGAGAAGAAGGTTCCTGGTGGGTGGAGTAGCAGGAGAAAAATAAGTCAGGTTCATGGGGAATGAAAGGCACTCTTTTGGGCCACAAATTAGAAATCTTGGGATTAGTTGGGTGGGTGATAAATAAAACTGAAAGGTAAAAAGGTTAATTGACAAGTCATTTCTAGAATAATACTCCAACTTAGGGGGTCTGTAGAGGCACTTTCGGGTCCCTGGAAATGGGGACCTTGAAAGCAGACTTGGTAGAAAGCCCCTTCTCACACTGGAGCACATAGGCTATCCTCTGCTTTATTAGACTTCCAGTCAAGCCAGTTATGAAATTATATGATGCTATGATACCACAACCAAGAAAACACACATGCACACCCATCATGACTCACACACACACACACACACACACACACACACACACACACAGAGAAAATAACATGGAACAAAAACTTTAATAAGTCAGGGAATGATTTTAAGAAAAGTATGTTGCCTTGGAGAAGAGAATAAGCCACACATTGTCATGAACATCTTTAAAACCAGCACCCAGGGGGCTGAGGGCTTCCAGATGGAGGTTAGCCTGAGCTACACAGCAACATCCTATCTCAAAAAAAAAAAAAAAAAGACAATGAGCTAACATTTCCTAACTGACAAAACAAAAGCAAAAACAAAAAAGCCTGTATATTTGGACCATAAAAGAAACTTCAATAACTGACTAAGAACCAATCATACAAGCTGGTATCACTGGAACACAGTGCAATAAAAACAAAACACATAAATTGACAATAAAAACCCAAATAAACTTTGTGTTTAGAAATAAATTAATACCAGTCAAAAGAAATAAAAAGGAAATAGAGTGTCCACAATAGAATAAAAATGAAAATTCTAGACGTCAAACTTGAGAGACAGTTGAAACAAAACTTCAAAAGCTGTCTTAATGTAATTTACCACAAAATAAGAAACATTTAAAAAATGCGAAGTGAGACATCACCAGAAGAAGCCGGAAAAAGAACAGCAGAGCAAATCTTAAAAAGAGAAAGGAAGGAACAACAGGGATAAAGGAATCTATTGATGAGAATAGACCAGTCACCACCAGCGAAATGAACCAGAAATACACAAGACTCCACAAACATCAGAGGATCAAAGATTTAAATGCTAGCTCTTTACACACTACACAGCATATACACACATCAAAATGCCCCACTAATACATACAATTTTGATTTGTCTTATGAAAGTTAAAAAATAAAAAGTTTAAAAAGTCCTTGGAAAACAGTAAGACAGACTGCTAGAGCTGACATTAAAAGTTAGTGACAGAAGTAAATTACAGACTTAAAAAGGGCAATACATGCAGACAGGTTTGCTTAGAGGAAAATGACTATGGATCATTCTGACATCAACTACATGCTGCCAAGTTTCAGCATTTATATGAAAAAGCAGGATGTGCTAGAGCATGCTTTTAATCCCAGCATTTAGGAAACTGAGACAGAGGATCTCCAGTTTAGTAGTTTAGGCTACACAGCAAGACCCTGTCTCAGAAAGGAAAAAATAGAAACAAAAATATGTCATATATCTTTTTTTCAGAGATATATTTTTAAAAAAATGCCAGCCAGGTGTGGTGGTGCATGCAATTGGGGGGCGTCAGAGGCAGGCGGATCACTGTGAGTTCAAGGCCAGCCTGATTTACATAGTGAGTTCAGGTCAGCTGGGACTACAGGAAGACCCTGTCTCAAAAAGACACACACACACACACACACACACACACACACACACACAACCCCCCCCCAAAAAAAACATTAAAATGCCATTTGGGGGGCCGGAGAGATAGCTCACTGAATTTGGGGATCATTGATTGACTAGGCTGGTTGGACAAGGCGCTGCAGGGATCCGCCATCCTTGCTCTACAGTACTTGCATACAGACCACCCAGGACTGGCTTTTATGTGGGTGCTAGAGATCCAAACTCTGGTCCTCATGCTTGCACAGCAAGCACTTTACCTACTGAGCCATCTCCCCAGCACTGAGGCCGTATCCTTTTTGTGAGGCTGGTATGATTCTCTTTTGTTGCTGTTGTTGATTGAAACAGGATTTCATGTAGCCCAGGCTGGTTTCACACTCACTGTGTGCACCTGAGGATGATGTTGAACTTCTGACCCTCCTGTCTCCATCTCCCCGAACTCCCACTGTGGTTTGGATTTGAATTGTCCCATAGCTCAGGCATAAAAAGCTTGGTTCTGTAACCAGTGGGGGTGGGGGCTTGAGAACTGAATGGATGGATCATGAGGGCTTTGACCTCATCAATGAACTAATCCATTTATGGATTCATAGGCTTAAGGGACTTAGGGGGAAGGATTATTATGAAAACAAACTCTCTGTTTCCTGGCCACCATGAAGTAATTCAATATGGCTCAACCTAAGACTATAGTAGAAGATGGATGTATCCCAGTAACGTAAAAACAGTTAAGAATCAGGAAATCTTCCAAGGATAATCACCACAGCAGTACCCTAAAGAAGAAAGTTCAGGGGCTGCAGAGATGGCTCAGAGGTTAAGAACACTGTTCTTGCAGAAGACCTGGGTTCAAATCCCAGCACCCACATGGCCGGTAACAACTGTCTGTAACCCCAGTTCCAGGGGATCCAACAGCCTCTTCTGTACTCGCAGGCATTGCACGTCATGGGTGCGCATACCTACATGCAGGCAATACACGCATACACATAAAATAAAAATAATAAAAAAAGAAAGTTCAAAGATGATGTTAATAGAGAAAATCATTTGATTAACAACACAGTTTTAGGATTAAAAATAAAATAGTTGGTAAAAAAAAGAAAGGTACCTTCTGAAGTTATATTTACAAGTAGAAAAATATAATATGGAGAGGTTTTTAGTATTCTAATCCAAAAAAGAATTAATGTTCATGGAAATTTTACAAATAAAGCAGAGAAAGATAGCAATCTCAATTGAAATCTGGCCCTAACACATACATTCAAAAGGTGTATAGATGTGTGAGGAAATGCTCAAATTTACCAGTAAGTTTAGAATTCCAAATTGAATTGGGATATTAATGACTGCAATTGTAGACCAGGAGTGAACCCATTATGTATGAGGCCCTGGGTTCTATCCTCAGCTCTGTCTCCCCTCCTTCATAAATGACATATTAAAATAGCAAATGAGATATTAAGTAAATGAGGTATCCAAAGTAAAACATTAATGGACTGCCAAACATGAAAACTGTTATCAGTTGCAGAGATAAGGACAGACTGTGGGTGGG